TCTCTCAAGGAGTCTTTGTTCCCCTGCTAGGAGGGAACAGAGAGAATATTGTACTGGAACCATCTCATCATATTTTTACTACATCCTACTCATCTTTTTATTTTCTGGCAGAGGGTTATATATCTTAATTATCTTTTGGCAAATCTTTATGTTTTCCAGCTTATCATTTCATGTGTTTGAAGCTATTTATAGCCTTCCCTCTTACTTGCTGCTGTCTAAATACATATTTAGGGTTGCTTGCAAGGGACAGACACAGACATCCCCTTTTAGGAAAAATGGGGAAATACATCACAGACCCCTCTTTTCTCTTTCCTCTCAGACATAGTCACACACATTTTACCATTATTATCTGCTCATTGTGGAGAAACAGAATGAAAATAAGCAAAAAGAGATTAAAAAATATGCTCCGAACCCACTTTTTTCGAACTAGATTACTTCACGTGGCCATGTGAGATGGCAGTTGTATGAGAGTGAGGTGCTGCCTGGACAAGGTCCTCTACAGCCTACTGTAGGTGACCCTGCTTCGGCAGGAGGTTGGACTGGATGACCCACAGAGGTCCCTGCCAACCCCGACCATTCTGGGATTCTGTGTGGAATACACAGGGCGTCAGCGTTTAACAAAAGCAAGGAGAAACCTGGGAACCTGCTTCCCATTACGCTTCAGGCTGTTCCCTGGACAATTAAATCTGCAGTGACTTTACAGTCCTCAGTTCCTCATTTGTGTCTCATTCAGTGATGGTTTTCATCGCCTAACGAAACAATCTGAGGCTTTGCTTTCCTGGCCAGCAGAGCCAGCAGACTGTGAATTTGCCACGGTCTACACGTGCGGAACAAGTGAATCTCCATGTCAGGACGGCAGGAGAACTGCCTGGAGATCCTGCTGGCTGCGGGGGCAAGCTACAGCGTGGCCACTCGCAGGTGAGGAAACCCCTGAGATATGAGAAGTCTGTTCTCAGCCGGGTAAATCTTAACCCTGTGTTCCCCTTGTTACCGTGCGATGGAAACAGCAAAACTGCAGCAATTTCCTCTGGCCGAGCCGCTGAGCCCCTGCAGGGTTCACCCCTGCCGATAAAGGAGCCTCAGAAGAACGCAGAAGCCTGGCGTGAGGGAGCGGGGCAGACCCTGACGCTGCAGCCCCGGTTGAAAGGTCGTGGTGTTGGTTAGGAGGGGCAGCAGCCCGACCGCCCTGCGGCTGCGGCGAACGGAGGCGCCGCTTTTCGCGGCCCTGCCTCTCCCACTGCCGTTATTTCTAACCCAGCGTCGTCCCGGAAAGGGCGAAAAGGCAACAGGCGCCTTCGTTTTGTCGCCGCTGGTTGTTCTGGAGCACCTCCGGTCGTCATTAGCCAGCTTGCGGGCGTGGGGCTGGCAAAGACAGAACTCTGAAGCACCGGCCGTCACGTCAGGGCTGTCCTGCTCATAAAGAAGAAAAAGACGTGCAGCTTCTAGAAAGGACGTAGCCGGTTTATTTTGTTCCGTTCTTGAGGCATTTTGTGAGCCAGCTAGCAAGGGCTGCACAAGTCCCGAGCAAGGGCTGGACAAGTCCCGCTGAATCTCAGAATTCACAATAAGAGAATAACGTCAGCGTGAATGCTTTGACCCAGGCTAACTGCCAGATCCTGCTCTCTGCTTCGTTAGAGTGAAACGTAGCGTTTCCGTGTAACGAGCAGGCTCGTTGTAGTTTTAGAGTCGGGTAATGGGATTTGGGCCAAAGAGACCGAAAAGAACTGAGGTGTCGCTTTTATTTAGTTGACTATAGCTGTCGTGCTCTGTTCAGGGGAATATTTTAATCAGGCCCCATATAATACTGCCTGTACTCTATGACTAATTTCTACAGCCATACTAATTTAATTCTGTAGCAATTTATTGACTGAGAAAGAACGAAATTGCTTGGCAGGATAATGGAGAGGAGCAGGAACCCAGCAGGAGGGGATGTGTGGCCAGTTCCAGTGGCCACAGGGGTACCAACTGCAGGACGATGAAATGAAGTCCCTGCAAGAGCAGCGACTGAGGAGCTGCGTCTCTCGCTGGCGGGCACGAGCTGCGGAGCTGCTGAAAGCCTGCCTGCTTTTGGCTGCTTGGGAGCCGGGCTCCATCCTGCCTGACATAAAAATCGTTTCAGAGCCGCGAGCCATTAGCTCATAAAGAACCCGGAAAATGATGTCGTCGTTGTAGTAGTGCTGCTAATTTCATCTCCGTGTCATTGCCCTGCTAAATCAGGAGGAAAAAAAAGAAAAGTTAAAAGATGTAAATTGTTCTTAAAGTCACGGGGGAGAGCGTTTGTGTGGTTTTATTGGTGTGGGGGTTTTTAAACGTTATGGATGATGTTAGTAAACTCAGATTAGGAAGAAAGTGGTTTTACTTCTTCCCCTGCAGGTTTTACAATTATTAAAATACAGAGGTTATAATGTAATTTATTCAAATCTCTTCTGAGGAATCTAGAATAAAATACTCCAAATGACTCAGACCTGCTGAGTTTTTGAGGACCCTTTCAGAAAGATCTCTTAAGTGTCTGAATAAATCCAGGAAGATTAAGCCTCAGAAATACGCCGCTTAAATAATGAGCTTGTAATTGCAGCTGTTACGTGCTGGGAGCGGGCATTTTGGCCATTCGCTCTCCGTAGCTGAGGTGGAACCTGCCTCCCCTGCGCCCGCTGTTACCGTACCGTGGAGGGCAGTTTACCCAGAGCACCGAGGCTCCACTTGCTCAAAGGGTGAGGCTGGAACAGCAAAGCGGATCAGCAAACATTGGGGTTTTCCGTAGAGTAATTCTGCTTTCAGACTCCTGATTTCCCAAATCGGAGACCAAGATCACAGTTTATTGCTGGTGTAAGCAGGTGTAAATCCCTTGGTCTGAAAAGGTTAGAGATCATTGGAAACTGTCCCAGGACATAACAGAACAGCAGAACCCCTTTGCACCATGCGATGCTTTGAATCCCAGCCCTCCCTCCCCACCCCCTAAAAAAAAGGCGGAGGTCGTGCAAGCCTTCCAAACGGACAAATTCCCCGAGCTGGGTCAGGAGAGGGTTTCAGGAGGATGAAGACAAATAACGAGGCTTCCCTCTCTCCATCCAGCTTCCAGCTTTGCGGAGCAGAGCCAGCGCAGCTCATCCTCCCCGGGGTGCTGGGGGCTTGTGCAGCACCCTGCGTCGCCGGTTCCACGGTGTTTGAGCAGCAGCGGCGTCGCAGAGCGTGGCTGTGAGATGGTGGCACCTCCTCACAGTCGTTTGTCCACACAGGAGAACTGTGGGCTGCAAGGGGAGACTTTGGCCCGATGACGTCCGTTTGGTGCTGCGCAGGACAGGGAGGTTAACGCGTGCCCTGTGGCTAATTAGGAGCGACTGGTTGTGCGTTTGTGGTGATTGCGTGTGCCCTGGGTGCCAAGGAGGCCGATGGGATCCTGGGGTGCAGCACGAGGAGTGTGGCCAGCAGGGCGAGGAAGGTTCTCCTCCCCCTCTACACTGCCCTAGCGAGGCCCCATCTGCAGTGCTGTGTCCCGTGCTCGG